GTGTGTGTATATGTATGTGTATGGAGAGAGAGAGAGAGAGAGAGATACATAGATTGATAGATTCCTGTATAATATATGTGATCACAACTGTACCTTCTTGGTTGCTAAAATAGTTTGGTCATTAGAGATATAATAACATGACAAGCTGTGAAATCACACGAGTTGTGTATATATTTAGACATTCGGCAGGCGTATAAAACCTCTGTAGTGCTGCTGTTAGGTGAAAACAACCATTAAAAGAAAAATATATATATACACTTATTCAGCCTCATAGCTGTAGCACACTAAATGGCTTCAGCTTTAGGAGTAAATAGGCGTGTACAGGTTCTTGATAAAATACAGACCGTGATATTTCTCTGAATCCCAAAACACCAACTACATTGGGGATTAGTGTTTAAACAGTCAATCCTTAACGCACAGCAGGTCAGGCAGTCAGAGACAGGACATATTTAATGGCAGGATTTCATGCCACAGATTATATTTAACGTCATTCAGGATTTTCAGAGTCACTGAACAAAGACTGTAAAACCTCACATCCATCGTCCTCAGCTCCTTCTGACACAAAGCCAGTGAGCTGGGTGTGAAATGAATCTCAGTAACAGGACAGAAAGGGTGGTAGTGGAAGGGGATTGGATGACTCTCAAGCTGAGTGTTTGAAAATGAGTAGAAACCAGACAAACTACTGCTGCACCCAGACTGCAGCCTATTACAGCACATCACAGCAGGATAAACACAACAGCCTGCAAATTATGCAGGACAGAGCTGTGGAAAGATGGCTTCAAAGCTCTGAGATGGAAACTAAACGTAAGCATTTTCAAAAAACAAAAACTAAACTCACGCTACAATCCTGAAAACCCTAAAGACTAAAATTAGTCAGACTAATCCAACATTTAAGCTCCCTTACCCTTCTCCTCTCCCTGCGTGTGAGCACTTGTCCATGCAGCAGCCTCCACACCATCCTGCCAGCAATCTTGGTGTCGATGCCGAGTAACCGGAAGCCATTGTAGTAATGCTTCAACTCATCCACGAACCTCTGATACAGAGACTTCTTCACGAGTGCCTTGTCCTTAACCGGAGCAACGGTGGCTGCGGCGGCTGTTGGTGCTGGAGGGGCAGCAGATGGAGGTTGGGACTGAGGTGCAGCAGCTGGAGAGTCCTTTTTATCTCCTGAAGAAGCATCGTGAGCAGCAGCAGGTGGTGGTAGTGGTGAAGTCTTAGTGTCCTCCTGCTTTATGTCCTGGAGCCAAACACCTGAGCTGTGTAGGGAGCGAGTGAGGAGGACAGAGCTGTGGCTACGACCAAGGGGGTGGCCACGGAAACAGTGATGGTGACCATAGCGGGAGGACCTGAGTGGGAACGAAGGCGAGACGTGGCAAGGAGGGACTACGTGGAGATAGGCTTTGGAAGACAAGGAGGAGCAGCTGTGCCTCTTGGATAACAAATATGATCCCCTGTTGGCAGAGAAAAAACAAAAACTGCTTAGACAATACTTTCCTTAAATGTATGTTTTAGTGACGGATGAGACCATCAATAACACAACGTTATGTTACTGAATACAAACACAGAATAGCTTCTGGTTCAGATTGCTGTAAATGAACTCCTCTGGATTTAAATCAGAGGAGGGAGTCAAATATACAGCTAGCAATCCAGAAGTGGACTCAAATTGTCCAACCGGGCCGACCGGATAGCTTTACGATATGTGAATGTTTCAAATTTCAATAAGAGGCTCATTTTATTTGAACTGTGGTGTGGGCACTGACTGCACTACCACACAGGAGATAAAGTTTAGGTCTAAAATCATCTGTGAAGCTTTAAAACCTCAAAAAGCTCCACTGTGACATTTAAACGATGTTTGTTAAGTTAGTGGGTGATGAATTAAACGTAGATGTTTTCTGAGTGGAACTTTTACTCATAAAAACCAGAAAAAAAATATTTCTGAAAAATAAGGAATTTGTGCAAACATCCCCCACAAAATGACCCATTTTTACTGCTCTTAGACTGGACTCTTATTTTGAAAGTGGGACTGTCGTTAACCAGTAAGGTCAAGCTAATTTTGTGGAAACCTCTGACGTCATTCAGCTCCCATGTCAGACAGACTCTCTATTATTAATTATCCTAAATCTAGTATGTCTGGTTTGAACTAGCAGGATAGTGAAGTCACAACATACAACAAGGTACCCTGGTGAAAACTTGAAAAAAGCTAATGTTTAGAAGAAAAAAAAAAAAAAGTCTATTAACCAATTCTGTATACTAAGTGATCTCAAACTTTACCTTTTATACGACACATCGTTTATCAGCTATAAAGCTGTCATTAAACAGCAATTACACCCATAATAATAACAGCCGAACAGAAACTACTTCCAGCTCGCAGGATTGTACACATGTCTGCGTTCACATTCACTCTAAAAATATTTGGATGAATCACCACATCACTCGTTCAGCTCCTTCTAGGAAACCTTCATCTGTTTCTGAAAATTTCTTATTGTTTTAGCAACGCTTTCAGAGGGATACTGAATCTTCCGGCAGCCCCTGGAATCCAATGAACCCCTGCAATGAAACACCACTTCCTCCTCCAAACACCATCATTGCTACTATACACACATGAATGCAGAGGCCTTTTCTCACTTCTGTAGGCTTTTGTGTAAGTGTCAAGCACTGTTTGAGGTCACAGTTTACCTCCATATACCTCCAGAAAGAGCCTCTGCTAGCAAATACATATTAATGCAGTTTAAGAATGGACTCTTCACAGTTTGGGGAGCAAACATAAGGTCACAGTTTGCCCCCAGGACACTCCCCCGACCTCAAACAGTGCCTGCTACTAAATGTACATTAGGCACTGCCTGAGGGTAACCACCCTCTGAGAAGCTGTCCTGATGACTACACACCTTCAAGTGCTTTTCAGTTAACAATGTGAACTGTAACCAACTGTATACTTATCTAAGGACCCTTAAAACTCTTGTCTAAGACCTAAACTTATTCAGAGTTCTTGCAGTCCAGACACGAAATCAGTTTATTCTTCCAACAGTTCGCAGAATTATGGAAAAAGTTCATCTGACGCTAATATTAGATGAGGATGTTATCCCCCCCTCTGGTATGTACGCACATGAAACAGTGGCAACCCATCTTCTTATATTTATTTATTTATATATATATATTTTTTAAATGCACACTGTTTACCTGCAGGATGCACAAAAAGTTCACAAACAAACTGACCTGCCCTTTCTGTTCTTGGATCAAGAATGGGTTATATAGTTAACTATATAACTGTATGACTACACTCTCCTGCAACACAGCAGAATGCAGCAGAGAGCTGATACTGACTATCAGTGACACGTGAAGTTATTTTGGTGACACTGACGTTTACACTGAAACAGCACATATGCATTTTTGTTGTTTTGCACAGTAGCTACACATTCAGACCAGAGGACAACTACTTTAGATTAGCCTGAGTTTAGAGTTTTCTGTCTACTTTAATGATGGTCCTGTTGGTGTCTCAACAATGTGTGTGTTCTTTACTTTTCCACTAAACCTTAAAAAGTGAAGCATATATTTCCTTCACTATATAAAAAAATGTGTTTCCTTATAAACATGTGTGTCCTTGTGTATTTTTGGCCCTTAAGTAATTTTTTCTGTTGTGGGGTTTCTTTCCCTTACTTTTCGCTTTTGTTTTCCTCATACTTCTTTTTCCTCCTGTAGTTTTTAAAGATTGTCCTCAGGTTTCTGAGTTTGCTCCCTTGTAAGTTAATTTGATTAATTTGAGCGTTTTCTCAAGCAAGTGTAAATATTATCCAGGCTTAAATGTGTTGTTTTAACTCGGTATCAGCATCGATCCTTGTCCAGCACTGGCTCGTGCTCTTTTGTTTACCTGTAGCAGAGCCCAACAACACGCCCCGACTCACAGTTTGCTCCAGATTACACACAATAAGCGAAAGTATTCGAGCAAAAGTAAAAATAAAACTGTTAGGTACCAAAAGTAAAAGAAACCGTGTCCAACTGACTTACCTTGATCTTGTAACTGCGAGGAGCACCTGGTGACTAAAGACTGCCATTGTAGGGGCAGATTACAGTACTCTGTTAAACGGAGAAACAGCGAGGTTAGAGTTCACTCTTATGGGAACAGAAGTGAGACAGAAAACTACTGTAGTGCTAAAACTAACATTAAGACGACGAGACAGCAAATGAGCCCGATATTATGTAACAACAGTTTTAACGTGACTACTCATCTGAGAGGTACCACAGACTTAACTCTACCAGTTTCCCTAAAAAATAATCTAACCTAACAGAAGACCTTAAGAAATGAACCCAAACCTTACTCCGCCTCGTTTTAAAGGCAGTAATAAAAGGACGTAACTTGATACCAAAACCAGGAGGGGTAAATTCCCAGGGTAAATTTCCGCCAGAGAAACACAGCCCTACGCTAGGCTAGCCGCTTAGCTAAAGTGAGCTAACCGGCTAACATAGTCGGTTAGCTGCGTTAGCTTAGCCGGCCGGTGCTAACTAAATGGCAGCCCACCAACCTCCAGCGTCGATGACCGAGCTATGGCTGCCGTAGCGGACAGGGCGATGTAAGGTTTCTCGGTAGGACGACAATAATATCCATCCACGGCACTCAATCCATGTAGAAGGGAACGACGAAAGTAACGGCCGGTGTAATGATAAACCCATTTACGGTGGGTTTCTCCGTCGAAAGCGCCCTCAGACGCGACAGGCTTGAGCTTCTTTACTGACAGTGTTTGTGTGTTTGTGCAGCCGTCACAGGCAGCTGCACTGAAATGTCACACCGGACATGCGTAAAGGCTGTGTGAGAAGTGTCAAAGATCGTCTATGCTAGCAGAGATGGCTCACTGTGTGGGCGAAAAAAAAAGCTTCTGCTCAGTGAAAGAGGGTGTTACTCTTCTTGTATTTATTCATTTTCAGTTTTATGATTTATGGATGCTAGATGACATTTAAAAAAGCACATATAAATCAATGAAATGAAACAATCTTTACTTTCATATTGATGCTGTCAAACGATTTCATATTGAATGTGTTGTAATCAGTGTAACTAATCTGCAAGACAGTGGTGAGGTGCGCAGTAAGAGTGGCAGATGAATTCAAGGTGGGGCTGGGATTATATATAATACTATAATGTTTGCAGACAACAGTGTAACCTGTACTGAGAGTAGGTGCGAGAGAGCCCGGATAGGTGGAGGTCTTCTCTGGAGAGTTGTGGTTGCTCCTTTTGTTTGCTTTGTTCATTTGTCTCTTTTAATTCTATTTTTTTTATACTTTTTCAACATGTTCAAAATAAAGATTCAATCAATCAATCAATCAATCAATCAAAGATAAATGAAAGTCAGTAGAAGCAAGAAAGAATATATGCGTGTGAATGAGAAAGAGGCAGGTGTAGCAATGAAGCAGGAAGGAGAAGAAGGACCAAAGGTGAAAAGAGTCAAGCATCCAACATCTCCAGGATTAGTTGAACTGACATGTCTTCAGGATATAAGAGGATACATTTAAAATGTATCTTCATTAGACAAATACATCAATATATCCCGTCTTTTAGACATACAACAAAACTAAACTAGGAAAGCGAGCCAGTACTGCTCATTAAATTTGTTTTGTTTTTGTTGCAATTTTAAGGTCTTGTTAATTCAGAAAAACTCGACTTTTGTTTGTCAACTGATAGCAATTTGCCCTCTCACATCAAATCAACTCTGGATTGATTCTCCTTCATTGGTATGCTAGTGTTTAAACCTGCAGTAAGCCACCAAACAAGCTGTCCCTCAAGCTTTAAAGTTAACTAATGCATGATGGAGTCATGCACAGGCCTACTCACATGATTACTCTGAAACAACTTTTAGTTGCAGTGGTCATTTCTTTCGCTTACACTGGTCACTCAGACAGAGACACCTTGTTGCCACAGTGTCAAGTATTGATCAGTATTCCTTGATATTTATGTCAGACTGTTCGACTGTTTGCCTTTTATTGTGTGTTTTACTTGTTATCCATTGGGCTATTTATATTTCTTGCACAGTAATTGGATGGAGCATCCACAATTCCAATGTATATGTACAACAAAATAATAAAAAGTAATTCTTTTGTATCCGATTCATGCTAAAATAAAGCCACTGCTAATCATATGCCTTCTAGATGGAATTACATGGTGGACCAAAATGAGACCGTACTTTTCTGTTTTATAGAGCGCATGTGTTTTACACTCACTGTTGTACTGCTCTCCTGACTTCTTCGCTACATATTGATGATGTTTTAAATCACATATTTCAACTTTGGAATCATCTGATGAGGCTTCAGCGACCAAAAGATAGATCAGATGCATCCCATAGGTCCTGTGTGAAGTCGCTCAGATACTGCTTATCTGCTGTAGATAGTT